CCCGCTTCCTCTCTTCTTCCTCCTCCTCCTCCTCCGACTCCTCCTCTTTCTCTTTCTTCTCCTCCTCCTCCTCTCATCTCCTCCTCATCATCATGCTCCTCCTCCTCCTACACGTCCTTCTCCTCCTGCTCCTCCTCCTCCTCCGCATCCTCCTCCTTCTCCTCCTCCTCCTCGCCCCTCGGTCTCGTCTCCTCTCCTTCCTCTCCTCCTCCTGCTCCTCCTCTTCCTCCTCCTCCACCTCCTCCTCTCCTCCTGCTCCTCCCCCCTCCTCTTCCTCCTCGCTCCTCCTTCCTTCTCCTCCTCCTCGCTCCTCCTCCGCATCTTCTTCCTCTTCCCCCTCTTCACCTCCTCCTCCTCCTCCTCCTCCTCCTCCTCCTCCTCCTCCTCCTAATCTTCTCCTCCCCCTCCTCCTCCTCCTCCTCCTCCTCCTCCTCCTCCTCCTCTCTCCTCCTCCTCCTCCTTCTCTCCTCCTCCCCCTCCTCTTTTCCCCTCCTGCTCCGTCCCCCTCCCTGTACCCCCCTTTGCCGTCCTACTCCTCCTCCCCGTCCCCCTCCTTCCTCCTCCTCCTCCTCCTTCCTCCTCCTCCTCCTCCTCCTCCTCCTACTCCTCCTCCTCCTCCTCCTCCTCCCTTCCTCTCCTCCCTCCTCCTCACTCCTCCTCCTCCTCCTCCTCCTCCTCCTCCTCGTTATCCTCTTCTTCTTCCTTATTAGTATTATTATTCTTGTTCTTCCTCCTCCTCCTCCTCCGACTCCTCCTCTTTCTCGTTATTCTTCTTGTTATTATTCTTCCTCCACGTTCTCTCTTTCTTCATACTCCTCATCCTCCTCCTGTTTCCTCTCCTCCCCTGTTTCCTCATCCTCCTCTTTATTGTCCTCCTCCTCCTTCCCCCTCCCCCTTCACCTCCTCCTTATCCTTCCCCTCCTCTACCACCTCCTCCTCCCGCTTCCTCCTCATCTTTCTCCTCATCTTCCTTCTCCTCCTCCTTTTCCTCCTCCTCCTCCTCGTCCTGGTCTTTTCCACTTTCCTGGTCCTCCTTCCGCCTCCTCCTCTTCCTCCGCTGTCTTCCCCTCCCCCTCCCGCTTCTTCTCCCGCTCAGCCCTCCTCTGTTCCTCATTTTCCCCCTCCTCCTCCTCCTCCTCCTCCTCCTCCTCCTCCTCCTCCTCCTCCTCCTCCTCCTCCTCCTCCGCCCCCTCCTCCTCTTCCTCCTTCTCCTTCTCCTCCTCCTCATCATCCCTCTGTTCCTCCTCTTTCTCTGCCTCCGCCTCCTCCTCCTCCGCCTTGTCATCTTCATCTTCCTGCTCCGCCCCGTCCTCCGCTTCCCGGTCCGCCTCCTCCTCCTCCTCCTCTTCCTCCTCCTCCTCCTCCTCCTCCTCCTCCTCCTCCTCCTCATCATCATCATCATCATCATCAGCATCATCATCCGTCTTATCTTTTTCATCTTCCTCCTCCTCGTTCTCCTCCTCCTGTTCCTCCTAATCCTCCTCCTCCCCCTCCCCCATCCTTCTCCTCCTCCTTCTCATCATCGTCCCCTTCTGCTCCTCCTCATCATCATCAACAACATCATCATCATCATCATCATCATCATCAGCATCAGCGTCATCATCAGCATCATAATCCTTCCTTCTCCTCGCCCTCCTCTTCGTCCTTCTCTTCCTCCTCATCCTCCTTTTCCTCCATCTCATCATCATCATCATCATCATCATCATCATCATCATCATCATCAGCATCAGCATCCTTATCCTTATCCTTATCCTTATCCTTATCCTTCTCATCAGCATCCTCCTTCTCCTCCTCCTCCTATTCTTCCTTCTCTTCCTCCTCATCATCCTTTCCCTCCTCCTCCTCCTGCTCATCCTCCTGTTGTTCCTCCTCCTCTTCCTTTTCCTCCTTATCCTGGTCCTCCTCCTCCTCCTCCTCCACCTCCGCCTCCCCCTCCCCCTCCCCCTCCTCCTCCTCCTCCTCCTCCTCCTCCTCCTCCTCCTCCTCCTCCTCCTCCTCCCTCCTCCTCCTCCTCCCCCTCCTCCCCCCCCCCCTCATCCTCTCCTCCTCCTCCTCCCCCTCTTCCTCCTCCTCCTCCTCCTCCTCCTCCTCTTCCTCCTCTGCCTCCTCTTCCTCATCATCATCAGCATCATCATCATCAGCAGCAGCAGCATCAGCATCAGCATCATCATCAGCAGCAGCATCATCATCCTCTTCCTCCTCCTCCTCCACCTCGTCCCCCTCATCCGCCTCCTCCTTTCCACGTTAGACCAATATGAGCGTGAAGCTATGGCATTCTTGACTGGGGAAAAGAGGGCGCGTGCACGATTCAGCTCACAATGGACCTGACGGGCGCCGCGGAAAAAGTTTGAATATGAGGCAAAGACACGAGTAGCAAAAGGAGTAGGCGCCAGCCAGGTACTAGAGGTCGGCACAGACCTTAATAAGATGTTCCACCCGCCCCCACATCCAAGGGTAAGAATAGACCCCATAAGATTCAGTGGTCAGTGCCGCCTCTGTCAAGAGTAAAATGCAGGTGAAGGTTGGCAGTGTACCAGGAATGTGAAACGAAAGATGGTGAGTGCAAGCATGGCGGCAATTCTTGGGTCGCTGCCCAGGGTTTTTGGGTTTACCCATAACCTCCTTGACCTGGGTCCGCGCGCTTTTGTTTACTCTTTTTTCGGGCTTGGCACGAACCCTTCGCGACTGCTGACTGTAGGCTGGCACTGTGGGCTAGCCTGTAGGCTGGCCCTGAAGGCTGGCACCGTATGAGCCCCTGTGGGCTGACAGGATACTGCTCGTGGGTACTCCTCCTCCTCCTCCCGCCTCCTCTGGAACCACCCACCAGCATCCCGAGCTAAAGCAGCCGGCACTACCCAACATGTGCGTTCATCCTTGCGCGCACGCAGGAAAATAAGATTTCGCGTGGCATCTGAATCCGAAACGTTGCCGACTCAAGAGATCAACACATGCAAAGTCAGTACGAAATCAAAGGACATTCCCCACCTCCTCATCCGTTTCCCTCCACGGTCTCCGCGCCGATCGGCCCCCCTCAACTTGCAACACAAAAGTGGCCACACTTCGCTGCGACACCCTGTCAAAGAGCAACGGCAGTGCAAATAGCAGGTCTTTGCGCAGCAGAACATCCGAGACGGCAAACCTCTGCGCGACAGGGCACTGTGGAGGGAGTGCGCGAGGACAGAAAAGCAGAGCTAAGCTCACTCGCAATTCGTTTCTGGCGCCGATGTGTTCGAACACTCATCCTCCTCCACCTCCTCCTCTCACAGCCCTCCTCCCACTACACACCACCATCCCGAACTAAAGATAGCAGGCACTATTCAAAATGCTTGCTCGGTATGACGTGCATGCAGGAAGAATCAGGCACTTTGCGTGGCATCTGAATCCGAAACGCTGTCGATTCAAGAGATCAACACGTGTAAAATCAATGTTAAGTCAAAGGTATCCTCCCACCCTCTCATCCGCACCCACTCCCCGACGTTCGCCCCCCCTCAACTTGCAACACGAAAGTAGCCTCCTCCTCCTCCTCCTCCTTCTCTTCTCTTCCTCCTCGTTCTCCTCTTCCTCCTCCCCCTCCGATTTCTTCTCCTCCTTTTCCTCCTCCTCCTCCTCCTCCTTCTGCTCCTCCTGCTCTCCCTCCTTCTCCTTCTTCTCCTCCTCCTCCTCCTCCTCCTCCTCCTCCTCCTCCTCCTCCTCCTCCTCCTCCTCCTCCTCCTCCTCCTCCTCCTCCTCCTCTTCCTCTTCCCCTCTTCTCCTCTCCTCCTCCTTTTCATCCTCCTCCTCTTCCTCCCTCCTCCTCCTGCCTCCTCCCTCTCCTCCTCCCCCTTCTCCTCCTCCGCTCCACCCCCTCCCCCTCCCGCTCCCTGTCCCGCTCATTTCCCTCCTCCTCCTTCTCATCCTCCTCCTCCTCATCATCATCATTATCATCATCAACCTCTTCCTCCTCCCCTCCTCCTCCTCCTCTTCCTCCTCCTCATTCTCCTCATCCTCCTGATGCCGCTGCAGGCTTCGGAATCCTCGAAGGCCCACCCATCCGGTCGGGTGGGGGGCGATTCTGAAAATGGCTTGCTCGCCGCCGTTTCATTCGCGGGGGGGCCCTCCCGGAGGACAGAGACGGAGAGGAGAGGACGACAGGAGGCCAGAGGGAGGAACCTCCTCAGTGGGGGTCCGAGTTGGGGGGAGAAAGAAACCCCTTTGGCCGCAGAAGCCCCCCACCCCCCCTACATTGCGGCGTGGAGATGGATGCAGCAGCGTTGGCCATTTATACTATAGAAGGGCGTGTGGCCGTGCGGCAGTGTCGCCTCCTCTCCTCGTCCTCTCCTCCCAGCTCTCCCACCCCCCCGCGCACCTCCACCTAAGCAGCACGCGGCGCAGGCTCCGCGCCGCCCCGTACCACGGGGCTGGCCCGTCAGGCGGTTCAGCGGGTTGCGGGCGTCTCAGGCATAGTGGTGGCCGTTATGTCGGCCACCATGCTAGTGGCGGCCTTCCTCCTCCTCCTCCTCCTCCTCCTCCTCCTCCTCCTCCTCCTCCTCCTCCTCCTCCTCCTCCTCCTCTTCCAGTAGCTGCGCGAAGAGGTTTTGCAGGCTATGCTCGAGAGCAGCCGCGACCTCCCGCCGTTTGAGTCGCCCGCCATAGTTGTTGAAGATGTCGGTGCGTTTTTGCCGGGTCAATGCGGAACCTCCTCCTAACGTTTGGGGGCATGTTCTCGCCGTTCACGAGGTGGATGATCTGGTCGCCCTCCAGTTTGAGTTTTATGTTGTCACCATTAGCGCCAATGAAGCGGACGCCGCGAACAGCTCGGCCTATCTGGCTCGTTGCGGTGCTCGCTTCCACGCGCGGTGGTTGGCCCAGATAGCGGGTGCCTCTGGCTCCGTTTCGCTAACCGTCTGTTGGGGCCGTCGATCAGCCTCGCGGCGGGCCTCTAGCCGGCTTTCGCCTCCGTCAAGTCGGATGTTCCCGCGACCCCAGGCCCGGCGGCTGGGCCTCGAGCTGAAGGCGGGGGCATGGGCGGCGGTTCCTCAGCGATGCAGGTGGCTTTCTTGGGCTCCTCGGCGATGTGGGTGGCCTCCTTGGGCTTCGCGGCGATGTTCTTGGCCTCCTCGGCGATGTGGGAGGCCTCCTCGGCGATGTAGGTGGCCTCTTTGCGATCCTCGGCGGTGTCCATGGGCTCCTGGGCGATGTAGGTGTCCTCCTTGAGTTGGCTCTTTCCACTGTCTGAGATGATGGCGCCGCACACGAGACCATGGATGAACTCCTCGGCCCCTGCGTTGAAGGCGGGATGGTTGCGGTCTTTGTGCCCTTGGGCCCTTCTGTTCTTTTTGTTGCTGCCTGGTCCTCCCCTGGGGTCCTCTGGCCTCTTCTGGTCAGCGCCCCATAGGGCGCCTGGGTCCCCTCGTTCGGAGTGCCAACCTTTGACAGAGCTGCGGTTGCCGCTCGGCCGAAGTCTCAGGCGGGAGCCGTGGTTGTTGTAGTCCGGGGGAGCAACAACGCAGTTTGACCCGGACTAAATTGCGACGAAGTCTCCAGAGGGAGCGCCGTTCCTGAGTAAATTGGGAGGAAGTCTCAGACGGGAGCGGGGATCCTGAGTAAATTTGGAGCAAGTCTACAGCGGGAGCCGTTGTTGTTGCAGTCCTGGGGAGCCAGGGGCACAGTTTGAACATCAAGACGTCCCCCGTCGAAAAGCAGGGTGCGAGCGTCGACGGGCGCACTTTGATTGAGAAAAAAGAATATGCACCGGTGAGGGGGGATCAGCAATAGTTATGCCTCAGAAATGAGAGTTCGACAACAGCAACAACAGCAGCAACATCAAGAACAACAACAGCAGCACGAACATCGAAAGCTCGGCCGAGCCCCAGACCCCATCCCGGATGCGGCACGCCTCGGGCTGGAGGAGGCCCGCGGCTGGGCCCGAGGCCGGGCCCGAGGCCGGGGCGGGGGCGCCCACCGTGAGGAGGCCGCAGCGCCCCGATCTCGGGAGACAGTCGAGTTTCGGCCGCGCCGTCTAGGAAGCAGCCTTCTTCGAAGAAGCCTTTCCCTTGGCATCGCTCGGACGTGTGCGTTTTTTCCTCGGCGGGGACCATCGAGGAGCATCCTTGATCATTTGGCGAAAAACCACGCACGAAACCAAAAAAGACAGGCAATGGACGTCCGAGCGATGGCCAGTTCCCCCTCCCTCTACCCCCTTGTGCGCGCCACCAAGAGGTTTGATCAGTAGTCGACCCGGCCCAAGCAAGGGTACAGTCGGGGCGCTGAAGAAGGAGCCATTTTCGCTGGGGAGGGGCTCCGTGTTCCCTTGATTGTTTCGCAGTTTGCTTCAGGTTGTCCTCAGGTCTTCGATGGGAGATCGGAGTTCGACTTGTGGAAAACAGGGGCCTGGCTCCTTATTTAGGGTTCCTTAGGTCAACGCCCCGACTGTACCCCCTTGTGCGCGCCACTAAGAGGTTTGATTAGTAGTCGACCCGGTCCAGGGGGGGCGCGCATCAGGAAACCATACGCGTTTCGTCAGGGTGCCCTGGGCTTCTTCGCTCCGCACACTGCGCGGTGACTTCCCACGGCCGTCAAAGAAACTGCTGCGGTCAGGGTGCTCCGGGTTTCCCCTCGGGTGCACCTCGCGGGCGGTTTTTCAGGGTTGGGTTTCTTGCAAGGGTTTTTTTTGCGGCCACGCCCGCACTGCAGCCTTGTGTCCTGTGTGTTCGCGACCCATGCCCTCTACGTTCCATTGGCAGCGTGGACATCGGAAGGGTCTTGTGTCATCTCGCGTGTCCTCTCCAATCCACCCCGACTGTAGGAGCCTCCGATGCAGCCGTCCACAGCAGAATTTATCGAATGGCCTTCGGCCCATTCCGCCATCATGCCCTGGTTGTACAGCGGAAGCCCATGCCAAGAAGCACCCTGCTTGCCTCGAGGGTGCCCTGGGTGTCTTGGGTTCCGATGGATTTGCCATGGAACGCGTGGCGTTCCCACACCAAAAATCAACGAACGTCCTGAGGTCTCAGGGTTGGGTTTTTTGTGGAAGGTTTCTTGTGGTCGGGCCCCACTGTAGGTCAGAGGCCTCTTGGCCTGTCTCGAGGCCCGTGTGGGCCCAAAAATGCCCGGTAGAACTTTGGAGATTTGGGCCTCGGGCCCCTTACAATATCCTCAGGATTGAAGACTGAGGCTCACGGGATTGAGCAAGGGGCCTGGGGACACGCCAAAACCGTGCACGGCGACAGCGAAGCCGAAGACCGATTGAACCGACAGCGAAACAATCCGAGACCGTCGGAAATCGACAAGGCGAAAGCAGCCCACAAATGCGCAGCGACGCGGCATCGACAAAAAAGGAGCAGCGGAACCGAACCGACCGAACGCAACTGGCTGCGACGCAACCGAACCGACCGAACGCAACCGTGGACACCCTCACGCACGGTGGCGCACTGTGCGGCGGCTTGCTCCTCCGAGCTCCCCAGGGCTGCATCGTCATCATCATCAGCATCATCAGCATTACCCTCAGATTCATCATCATGATCATCGTCATATTCATCATAATCAGCATCGTCCTCATCATCATAACCATCATCAGCAACAGCATGATGATCAGCATCATCATGACCATTGTCGTATTCCTCAGAATCCCGTAATCACCATCGTCCTCATCATCATAGTCATCGTCAGCATCATCATGATCATCATCACCATCATCATCAGCAGCATCATCATGATCATGATCGTCATCATCATCATTATCATCATCATCATCATCATCAGCATAACCATCGCCATCATCATCATCATCAGCAGCATCATCATCAGCATCAGCATCAGCATCAGCATCATCATCATCATCATCATCATCATCAGCATCATCATCATCATCATCATCATCATCATCATCATCATCATCATCATCATCATCATCATCATCGGTGATGAGTCTTCGGGTTTGCCATGGTCCTCCTCCGAGCTCCTCAGGACTGCCCGTCGCGCCGCTCTCCGACCTGCCGCCGCCCTGGCCCGCGCTCGACGGGGCGCTGGGCTGGCCCGCGGCGTGCGGCGGCGGCAGCCCAGAGGCGGCGGCCCGGAGGCGCTGGCGGCGACGACAAGGGGCAGGGCTCATCGGGGGCGGCAAAGAGAGGGGTGATGACTAGGGGGGGGGGAGACCATGGCGTGGGCCATGATATTTCCTCAGATTTCATGGCGCCTCTTCTTATTTCAGTACGTCCCTGCCGCCCCCCCGCCCCCTGGGCCGCACATGCCACCGGCCATGATTTGCGCCCCCTCCTCTTGGACGCCCCCCTCCTGGCCGCCCCCGAGATCAGGGGCAACGTTGGGGCTCGAGTTAAGTCGGGCCTGTCCCTGACCAGGAGGAAATTTCAAAAGTAGCCAAACAGTAGTATGGGGACGACGGTTCTACGATGTTTAGACTATTTTGAATATTTCTGGACGCTTTCTGCGATTTGTCATCCAAGGCCCGCCTGTGGGAGAACACGCCCGACCTAAGGCTCGAGCTTCTTCGAGCTTCTCGGATTCGACGGTTTCGGGCGTGCTCGCTGGTTCCATGGGCGGCTGACCAGCGTCCGGGGCTGCGCCTCCCCGAGAGCGCTCCTGGGGCGCCGGGGCCGTCCCGAACGGACGCCGGCGAGGCGCCGGGGTCGCCCCGAGCGGACGCCACAGGGAGCCGAGTGGCGACCCAAACCTCCGAGGGTCGGGCCGGGCGAAAGGGGGGGATACCAAAGATTTGAGAATCAGCTCGCGTAGCTGATTTTCGCGGCGGGAGGCGCCGAGGGTCGCCCCGAGCGGGCGCCACAGTCGGGGGCGGACAGACACCCAACCCTGACACGTCGATCAGTGATTTGTCCGTGTTCGGTTCTCGAGTGGGCGCCGCGGCCGTCTTTTTCCAGGTCTGCGCCCGCCAGGCTTGGGCCCAAGGTCGGTTTCACTAAGCCACGTTTTACTAAACGGAGTTATGTTCCTCCTCCTCCTCCTCCTCCTCCTTCTCCTCCTTCTCCCTCCTCCTCCTCCTCCTCCTCCTCCTCCTCCTCCTCCTCCTCCTCCTCCTCCTCCTCCTCCTCTCCTCCTCCTCCTCCTCCTCCTCCTCCTCCGCCTCCTCCTCCTCCTCCTCATCCTCCTCCTCCTCCTCCTCCTCCTCCCCCCCTTCCTCCTCCCACAGGGAGCCGAGCGGCGACCAAAACCTCCGAGGGCAACGCGCCCAGGCGACAGGCCCAGGGGGGAGCGCATCGACCCCCCGGTCGCCCCTTCTGCGCCGACGGAGGCCTCTCTCGCCGATCCACCTGCGAGGTGTCGCCGAGTCCAGCTCGCCGTTTCCCGCCTCCTCTTCCTCCTCCTCCTCCTCCTCCTCCTCCCCCTCCTTCTCCTCCTCCCCTCCTCCTCCTCCTGCTCCTCCTCCTCCTGCCCTCCTCCTCCTCCTCCTCCTCCTCCTCCTCCCTCCTCCTCCTCCTTCTCCTTCTCTTCTCCTCTCCTCCTCCTCCTCCTCCGCCTCCTCCTCCTCCACCTCCTCCTCCTCTCCCTGAGCCGGCCCCCCGAACGTTGTCGCTCATTTGGGCGAGAGCGAGGGGGTGGGGAGGGAAGCGGTGAGCGGGGGCTGGAATGCGATACGCTTCCCCGAGGGGTGGGAGGTCCCCAGGCGGTGGGGCGCGGAGGGAGCAGGCCCTGGTCGGGGCACGGCGGTTGGCGCTTGCCCGGGCCTGCCCTGGTCACCTGGGATGTTGAACCCAGAGGCAGCTCGACAGGATGGCATCTGCTGGGATTTGGGCGGGGCGGAGGAAGGACGGAGGAGGAGGAGGAGGCGGAGGGGGGGGAGGGAGGAGGAGGAGGAGGAGGAGGAGGACGAGGAGGAGGAGGAGGAGGAGGCGGAGGAAGAGGAGGAAGAGGAGAAGGAGGAGGAATAAACCCAAGAGTCATCAACGACGTTGGAATGAACCCTCCCTCCAAGCCCCCTCTTCGTAGACCCCTACAACGGCTCATTTCCATTGAGGGAACTGGTTTTACAAATGCAAGAGTTTCACGGATTGAGGGCGGGTGGTGTTCAACATGTGGTTCTCGCCTTGGCGCCGCGCACATCTTTGTTTTCCTTTTTTGTACAACATGCAAGAGTTTCATGGATTCCCATACGTACCAGAAAGGGTGTTTTGAAAGGGTTCAAGATTTTGCGGGCGCAGCAATTATGTTGATTCGCGGTGTTGAAGTCCCAAAAATGACGTTCTGGCACGATTCCGGATCGTCAAGACGCAGCAGTCAGGTTGATACGTGGCGACCCGCCCTTAATACGTGAACGTCTTGCAAATTCTTTAAGAAAAAATGCGCGCGGCGCTAAGGCGAGAGCCACATGTTGAAAAGGAACCGCCCACAATCCGTGAAGCTCTTGGACATGTTTACCATGAATGTGCGCGGCGCTAGGCGAGAGCCACATGTTGAAAACCACTCGCCCTCAACCCTTGAAACTCTGGCAATGTTTTAAAGCGAGTGTGCGCGGCGCTAAGGCGAGAGCTACATTTTGAAAGCGACCCGCCTCCATCTGCGAAAATGCTCCCACTTGTTAAGCATCAGAATCATACATGGTGAGGAAGTCTCCAGCGAAACGCCCGGTCCGCCCTAAAAATTGGCCCCGGGGTGCGACAGGGACAAGTTATCTGTACCACAGGAGGAATAGGAGGAGGAGGAGGAGGAACAGAAGGACGAGGAGGAGGAGGAGGAGAAGGAGGTCTGCCCAGACCTGCCCGAGGAGCCCCCCCCCAAGGGTGGGAGAGGGGATCTGGTCTTCACCAGGGTGGCTCGGTGGGCTACGGGGCTGAACGCCATGCTCTACATGCCAGCAGCGACGACGACGACGACGACGACGATTACGACGACGACTTGAGAAGGACGGTGAGGGGCGACGAAGAGGCCAGGATGGGCAAATGGGACGGGCAAGACAGAGGAGGGAGAGAGCGGGGGGGGAAACTCCGAAGAAGTCGCAAAAAAAAAGTCTCGGATAGTGGGAGTGTATCGGGCCGTGGGCCCAATAGGCATAACGCATATCGCAGCCGGGCGCGCCCCCCAAGGGCAGGCCGTTGACCTCCCAAGTCAGGCCCCTGACATCTGACCCCTCTAGAGACAGGAGGAGGAGGAGGAGGAGAAGGAGGAGGAGGAGGAGGAGGCGGAGGAGAGTTAGGAGGAGAAGGAGAAGGAGGAGAGGGGAGTGAAGACGAGGAGGAGGAGGCCGAGGAGGAGGAGGAGGAGGAGGAGGAGGAGGAGGAGATTGAGAGGAGGAGGAGGAGGTGGATGATGAAGGAAGAGTGAGGAGGGAGGTGGATATGAGGAGGAGGAGAAGGAGGAGGGAAGGAGAGGAGGAGGAGAAAAGGAGGATGAGGGAGGAGGAGGAGAGGAGGGACAGTGAGGGGAGAGTGAGGAGGAGGAGGAAAGGAATGAGGCGTGAGAGAGGAGGGAGGAGAAGAGAAGGAGGAGAGGGGGTCGGCGGGGAGAGCGACGGGCTCAGGCCTATGGGGCCCAGCTCAGCACAACACGACCCAACTCCTCCTCCTCCTCCTACCTCCTCCTCCCCTCCTCCTCCTCCTCCTCTTGCCTCCTCCTCCTCCTCTTCTCCTCCTACCCTCACTGCCTGATCCTGCTCCTCCTCCTCCCTCCTCCGCCTGCCTCCTCCTCCTCCTCTCCTCCTCCTCCTCCTCCTCCTCCTCCTCCCCCTCCCCCTCCTCCTCCTCTTCCTCCTCCGCCTCCGCCTCCTCCTCCTCCTCCTCCTCCTCCTCCTCCTCCTCCTCCTCCTCCTCTTCCTTCCTCCTCCTCCTCCTCCTCCTCCTCCTCCTCCTCCGCCCCCTCCTCCCCTCCTCCTCCTCCTCATCCTCCTCCTCCTCCTCCTCCTCCCCCTCCTCCTCCTCCTCCTCCTCCTCCTCCGCCTCCGCCTCCGCCTCCGCCTCCTCCTTCCCCCATGGCGAAGGAAACGATGGGCGGAGTCGGGCAGGACTTCGAGGGTGGGGACAGCGGGCCGCGGGCCAGAGAGCACAGTCCACCCGCACATGTTTGGGAGGGGCAGCCGCCCCCAGGGGGGTACCCTTGCGTCCCTGCCTCCTCGGCCCCTCCTTGGCCACCTTCGTCTGGCCGCGCCCCGTTCGAGAAGCTTCGAGATGGGCCTGCCAGGGCCCTTGCACTCTCACCGCGCATCCTTCTGATACCGGCCGACTGTACTCCGCCCCCCAGCCACCGTCGATGTCCGCCCCATTGGGGGAACGAACAATGGCATAAAGGTAAAAACTCTGAGGTCCGCGCGGATTTCTCGGAGCGCGCCAGGGGCGGCGACGGAGGCGTCGGGAGGCACGGCAGGCGGAGGAAGGAAGGAAGGAAGGAAGGAAGGAAGGAAGGGAGGCAGGAAGGAAAGGAGGGAAGGAAAGGAGGGAAGGAGGCGGAGGCGCCGCGCAAATGACCAGTCGTAGCCCCATACCTCGGGCTGCACGAGTGGGGGAGGCACGGCAGGCCTGGGAAGGAAGGGAGGGAGGGAGGGAGGGAGGAAGGGAGGGAGGGAGGGAGGGAAGGAAGGAGGCGCCGCACAATCGACCAGCAACCCCCCACACTCAGGCCACACCGGGGGGTGGGGGGGGCGGGCGGCGCCCGGCAGGCGGCTGCCGCGGCCCCCCGACGCCCACGCGGGCTCGCCGCTGCTCGACGCCCGCTCGCCGGCGCGGGCGCTGCGGGGGGGGGGCGCCAGACACACGCGCGAGAGCGCTCGGCGGGTCGACGACGTGCGGCCCCGAGGGGCGGGGCATCGCTCGGACGTGTGTATTGATTCTCGGCGGGGGCCATCGAGGAGCATCCTTGCTCATGTGGCGAAAAAGCCACGCACGACACCGAGAAAAAAACACGGGGAATGGGCGTCCGAGCGATGGCCAGGGGACGGGGCCTGCAGCATTCGGCCGGACCAGAGGAACGACAAGCAGGGAGCGAGGCCCGGTTGTTTTCCCCAAGTAGAGTTGGGACGTCCGAAGTAACGCACCAGGGGGCTCGCCGCCAAGAAGGAAGCGGAACGCATGCAACCCAAAGGAACGGCCGAGCCCCTTTGGAACAGTAAGTGTTCCTTATTCAAGCCGGAACCTGTAAGGATACGTAGGAAGGAAGCCAAGGTTGGACTCACACTGTTTGAGGCACCTCGCCTTTGTGGGGGCCTGTCCCTCAGGACCCCCTCTTCGATCGGCACGAACGACATGGGTACGGAAAGAATTTGCACGATGCCCACCAGCAGTTCCTGTTCATTTTGAACAGGATTCGCTGTCCGCGCCGCCGCGGCCTGTGTCCATTTGAGACAGAAGGCCGCCTGCCCAACAGCGGCCGCTGTTGGTTTAGGACAACATGTGTTGTTGGACATTGTACCCAGTTGTGCCGTACCCATTCCGGGCGTCCAAAAACGGATAGGAAGGACGCCATGGATTCACATTGCTCGAGGCACCTCGCCCTTGGGGGGCCGTCCCTCAGGAACCCCCCTCCTCGAGGCATACGGAAGCAGCGTGCGGCGTGTGCGGCCTGCGTCCTCCCAGGCCCGCCTGCCGCCCCCGCCCCCCGACGCCGCCGCGGGCGGCGCGGGCGCGGCGGCAGCGGCGGCGCCCGCGGGCAGCCGCACGCCGCCGGGCGGCGGGGGCTCGGGCGCGCCGCTGCGGGAGCTGGAGCGGCGGCTGCGGCAGCTGGAGGCGCAGGCCCAGGAGCCCCGAGGCGCGGGGCGGCTGGCGGAGGAGCTGTCGGCGCAGCGAGCGAGCCACCAGAGGCTGCTGGAGCACACGGGCCGGCTGGCCGAGGGCATCGCGGCCGCGGAGGCGCGCCTGCGGCGCGCCGAGGAGGCCGCGGCAGCGCGCCTGGCGCGCGCCGAGGAGCCCGTGGGCTGCCGCACGCCGCCGAGGGCGGCGGGACGGCCCCTTTCGGAGGGCTCCCCGTCGGGCGGGCACGCGGGCTGCGGCACGCCGCCAGGGGAGGCGGAGCGGCACCCAGCGGGGGGCTCCCTGTCGGAGTGGCGGCGCGCGGGGGGCTCACCGTCGGCCGCCATGCCCCTGACGTTTGCGATCCGCGGCATCGACGCCTCGCGCCTGGAGGAGGACGGCCGCCTCGCAGAGGGCGTGCAGGCCGCCTTCGAGCGCGCCATCGGGCAGGCCTCCGGCGGCAGCGTCGTGAGAGGCAGCGCGACGGTGGTGCCCACCAGCCCCAGCGGCGCAACGGTTCGCGTGGCGGTCTGCCCCCCGGACGGCGTGCGCGACGCGCAGACCTGGGCGGCGGCGTGGCTCGGAGCGTCCCCCGGCCTGAAGGAGCAGCTGGCCCAGGAGGTGCAGGACCTGCAAGAGCCCGCGCACGAGGCGGCATCCACGACGCCGTCCTCCAGGCGGCACCCGCCTCCCAGCGACCTGGGGCAGCACGCCTCGCTTGCGCACGGCGCGCGGCGGCTCTTCTGCCTGGAAGGGCCCTCCAGCGAGCCGCCGCCGCCGCCGTGGGAGCCGAAGCCGGGCGGCTGCGGCCGCCCCGGGTCGCCGGGCGCACTGCGGCGAGCTTGGCCGCGGGAGCCAAGCGACGAGCCTTGGGAGCAGGCGCCGGCCGGGCAAGGCCGCCTCCCGCCCCCCCCTTGGGAGCTGGCGCCGCGCCGCCTTCCGCCACCCCCCTGTGGGCTGCCAGTCGCCTCGCCCGCCCGCCGCCACCAGGGGCCGTCGCCCAGGGCGCCCGCGCCGAGCGCCCACGAGGGCCAGCTGGCGCCGCGGGGTCCGTGTGCAGAGTCGGCGTGGGGATGCCCCCCCGACAAGGCCCACGTCGACCACGCCTCCCGCAGCAGCAGCACCACGGCCTCGGCGTGGCCCCGGCAGTGGCTGGAGGACGGCCCGTGGGGAGGCCCCGCCCCCCAGACGTTCGTCGACCTCTCCCGCGGCTGCAGCTCCACGGCATCGGCATGGCCCCAGCGGTCGTCGCTGGAGGAGGCCCCGCGGGGGGGCGAGCGGCCGAGCGGGCAGCCGTGGGGCCCGCGGCACCCGCCGGCGGAGGCGTTCGGCTCCGGGGCGGCCGCCGGCGGCCCTCTCCCCGCGGGGCCGGGGAATGGCGCAGGGCACGCCCACGGCGGGCTTGCCCGCACGTGCCAGCTCCTCGACTCGGCGCGGTCCTCGAGGGAGAGCGCCGTGCCGACACGGCAGCGGTAACTGCCACTCCCGCGGCCTGCCCCGTCCCGGGCCTCGTCCTGGGGGGTGCGCCCTCGTCGTCCCCGCTGGCTGCGCCTCGGGATCTTGGCCAGCGCGCGCCACGGAGGAGGTCCGGAGAGCAGCGGTGTCAGCATCTCTCGGCCAGGAAAGGCACGCCAGCATAAATTGACGGTGTTCCATGCGGATGTGTTGGATTTGCGCTGGACCCCGCTGGCGCGCTCCGTGCGCCAGTGAGGTGGGCCCAGCGCCCAGCGCAGACCCAAGAAGGCCGCGCGGACCTCCGAAGGTTACGCTAATGTTGTTGTTGTTGTTGTTGTTGTTGTTGTTGTTGTTGTTGTTGGTGGTGGTGGTGGTGGTGGTGGTGGTGGTGGTGGTGGTGGTGGTGGTGGTGGTGGGGTGGTGGTGGTGGTGGTGGTGGTGGTGGTGGTGGTGGTGGTGGTGGTGGTGGTGGTGGTGGTGGTGGTGGTGGTGGTGGTGGTGGTGGTGGTGGTGGTGGGTGGTGGAGGTGGAGGTGTCGCTGTTGTTGTTGTTGTTGTTGTTATTGTTGGTGCTGGTGTTGGTGTTGGTGTTGGTGTTGGTTTTGTTGATGATGTTGATGATGTTGGTGATGTTGGTGATGTTGATGATGTTGATGATGTTGATGTGTATGTTGGTGATGTTGTTGATGGTGCTGATGATGCTGATGTTGTTGTGGTTGTTTTGTTGGTCCTCTACCTCTGGCGGCACCCACAAGGGGGGTCGCGAGGTGCGTGGATTTCCAAGAAGGCAGGGGGAGCTTCTTTGGAAGTCCGCCCGGGTTCTGAGACGCCTTCGTGGCAGCTCAAAAGCCTCGGGGGGCGTCTGAGGGGGCTTCTTCCCTCTGAGGCGGCCCTGGCCGCCCCCCCGCCCGTGCCACCCGCCTCGTGGGCGCCGCCAGGGCCTCCGCTCCCACAGGTCCTCTGCCGCGTCCATGGCCGGCGAGCGCCAGTCCCTGGCGCGCATGCTCGACGACATGCAGAACGCCACCATGCGGCTGCACTGGGACCGGGTGCCGGACGCGCACGGAGGAGCGGAGCACCACGCGAAGCCCCACACGGCCGCGGGCCCCGGGAGGCGCGCGCCCCCCGCGAGCTGCCGGGTCACCGTGGTGGCCGCCCGGGGGCTGCGCGCCGCGGACTTCTCCGCGCTCGGGGCGGCCTCCTCCGACCCGTACTGCGTCTGCGAGGCCCGCGGGCCGGCTCTCCGCCGCCGGGCCCTCCGCCGCCGGGCCCTCGCCGCGGGGCCCTCGCCGCAGGGCCCCCTCGCCGGGGCCCCCGGCGGCCATCCCGCGGGAGGGCCCTCGCGGAGGCCCCTCGGCCGCCGAGGCCGGAGCCCCGAAGGCCCAGGAGGAGGGGGAGGAGGAGGGAGGAGGAGGAGGAGGAGGAGGACGGTATGTACCTATCAACAAGGTGCGCGCGGCACCTAGCCAATTCTCGCAGTAATGGGAAGGGCGCCAGGTGTGCGCGGCACCTAGCCAACTCTCGCAGTACGCATCTTTGCTCCTCCTCCTCCTCCTCCTCCTCCTCCTCCTCCTCCTCCTCCTCCTCCCCCTCCTCCTCCTCTTTCGATACAGTGCCTCGCTGCGGCTATCGTGCTTCGGCGCTGCCGGGAACAAGGAGGAGAAGGAGGAGGAGGAGGAGGAGTATGAGTCATGGCCGTCTTCGGTAGATGTTCAATGCTCCAGCCCATGACGCGGAGGTGTCGCAGCCCTTCCATTTGCAAGTCACGGTGGCTTGCGGGCTTACACGAAGCCCACGAAGCCGTTGGGCGCGGGGCGCGTCATTGCAGATCCCTCGGGCCGCGTGGAATAGGAGAATGTGCTGATGGTTGCTGATGCTCGGCGCGAAGACCCGTGGCCAGCGGCATGCGAGCCCAGTCCTGTTGCCCCTGGTCAGTTTACGTGGCGGTCACGGAGCCCCTTCTGGTCGCGGGCAACACGGTCGGTGTCTGCGGCGATGGCGAAATCGTGCATGTAGTTGCGCTGCGGCGGGGCAGGCGTCATTGGCCGCCGGGGCGGCTCCCGCTGACGAAGACCTGCGGTGACCGTCATCGCTGGCAAGATGCTCACCGAGCTTCGGTGACCACCACTGCGTTTGCGCGGGCTCTCGCGTCGTCGCGCTGTTGGAGGGCAGAGCGCGTTCGCCCATGTATTTGCAGGGCTCGATTCTGCTGCTATCGCGCCGCGGGGCCCAGAAGGCGGGGTTGGAAAGGCGCGCTCCGACGTAGCAGGCTCGGCAGCGCTGCCCTCTCAGTGCCACCAGTCGTCGCGGCTCCTGCTGAGACCTCTGAGGCGATCCGCGTCGCAGAAGGCACGGTGTGCTTCTTCGGTGTTCGTCTTGCGCCTGCTCACGCCCTCGGCCGGCCACGCGGCTGCGCTCGGGCCGGTTTCGAAGTTGTTCTTGCTCGGGAAAGCTATTGGCATCGCTCGGACGTGTGCATTTTTTCTGCGAGGTCCATCGACAAGCATGTTGGATCATCGTGCGAGAAACTATTCCGACGGTGGGGCCACACATGAGAATCCATTTAGCTTGCCCCTCGTCCGTTCCGCTTCGCCCTGGCAGAGGCATTCCTCCAGGCCGCTGTTGCGCATCGTCCTCCTCATCCTCCTCCTTCTCCTCCTCCGTTTCCTCATCCTTCTCGCCGTCCTCGTGTCATTTCTCCTCCTCTTCCTCCTCCTCCGCCTCCTCCCGTTCCTCCCGTTCCTCCTCCTCCTCCTCCTCCTCCTCCTCCTCCTCCTCCTCCTCCTCCTCCTCCTCCTCCTCCTCCTCCTCCTCCTCCTCCTCCTCCTCCTCCTCCTCCTCCTCCTCCTCCCCTTCCTTGCGTGTTTTCCTTATTTCCTTGGCGCCCACGTGACCACGGCCAGCAGGGGCGCGTTCTCCGATGGCCAGATCGCGAAGCCGTTGGGGCAACCCCGCGGGGCCGTTGGGACAACCCCGCGAGCCATTGGGGCGCGGGGGCATGCCGTCGGGAAAACCTCGCGGGCCTCGAGCGCGGCGCCGCCGCGCTCAAGCGGGAGGCAGCACGAAGCCCAGCTTTGCCGCGAGCTGCTTCACCTCAGCCCTGGAGAGCGCAGCCTTAGTGTCGAACTCTCCAAGCGCCTCCCGCCTGAGACTTCCTCCGTATTCCAGCTTGCACAGGCCAAAGGGGACGACGGCTACAAGATTCCGATGACCCGCTCGGATTCGCAAAATGAGCTGCGGGCTGCATAGGAAGGGGGCTCCCGCTTCCAACTTCCCCGCAGGGCACTCACAGACGAGGCTCCGGCCGAATTGCCCTAGCAAGTCAATCACAGACGAAGTTCCCGCCTGAGACTGCCTCCACAGTCATGCTTGAAGACGCCAGAAATGACGTCACAGGATTCCGATGACCCGTTCGGATTGGTGGCATGAGCTGCGGGCCCCATATGGAGGGGCCCCCGCCCAAGACTTCCTCGCGAGTCACTATCAGACTACGCTCCCGCTTGATCGACGATCGTGATGGGATGGTGGTAGTGATGACGGCTGTGGTGCGCGATGGTGTTGATGATGGCGATGATAATGATGGCCGACCGACATGACGGGATCATGAAATGTGAATGAGTGAGTGGGTGATGAGTGGATGTGGGTGGGTGAGAGGGTGAGTGGATGATGATGGTGCATGATCGTGACGGGATGGTGGCAGTGATGATGATGGTGAGTATGGTGATGATTGTGATGGTAATGATGATGAAACGGAAGATGGGTGGATAATGATCTTTTTCGGAAGTGCAGAGAAAGCAAAAACCGAACTCTGGATGTGGGGAAATTCGCGCACGAAGCCGAGTAATGCACCAGGACTACGCGTTCGAGAGATGGCAAAAGCTGGCGGCTAGGAGCGTCGCGGTCTTGGCATCTCCGCTCGCACTGGCTGCTTCTTGGGCGTTGCGCGCAGCCTCGGCCGCGTGGGGCTTCGGTCCGCTCTGGGCGCCCCGCCGCCGTCGCCGAAACGGCGCGCGGCGGACCCAGGCCCTTTTGTGGAGCACGGTGCAGCCCAGTCACAACCACGCTCGGCGCCGCGGTCCTTCCCAGGCGTGAGCTCTGCCCACCTCCAGGCCCGGCAGTCTCCAGGCCTCCCGGGTAGGGTCCGAGTAGATGGGGCTGGTGGATCGCGCCACATCGACGCTGCATCGACGATGCGGCTCGATGTAGAGCCCGATGTTCTCCACGCCGGCGTCGCCGATGCGTCGGCGATGCGGCGCGATCCTCCGACACCACTTATTGGCACCCCATCCGGGAGGCCTCCACTCTCGCCATCAGGGCAACGAGGGTGGGCCGTCCAGTCGCGCGCGGCCGAGAACTGCGGGCCGTCGTGGGCGCGGACCGCGCCACGCCCGGGCCCCTGCACAAGACCGTCGCGCGCGCGCGACTCGCCCTGTCCGTGGGGCCTTGCCGCGGGGATCCTCGCCGTCCTCGTCGCCGCTCTCCGCCAGGCGTTATCCGCTCTCGCGGCGCCGCTCAGACGGCCCGGCCTCTGAGGCTGGTGGCACCAGCCGGCCGGGCTGGCGCCACGGGGCGCTGAGGGCGCTGTCCTCCCCCCCGCCCCCCCCCGGGTCCGAAGCCTTGCTGCTTCAAGAGCTGCCCACGGCGCATCGCCAGCTTCCCAACACCATTCCTCGGGTGGCGGCTGAGGCATGGCGCGCGCGAGCGTGCGCCTGAGCACGCACAACCTTTTGCAGTTGTGCCAAGCCGTATGGCCGCCAGAACACATAGAAGCAGGTTGCCAGACCTGAGAACCAGAGTGCGACTTCCGAGGGGGAGGAGCAGGAGGAGGAGGCGAAGGATCAAGAGCCTCCTCGTGCTCCTCCTCCTCCTCCTTCCCCAGCCTCCCCCAAACCACCCACCATAATTCCCTTTATCCGTCTCCCCCCCTCCTGCGCCTCCGCCTCACGGAGTTCTCTTCCGCCTTCGTGAGAAGGATGAGGAGGAGGAGGAGGAGAAGGAGGAGGAGGCGGAGGAGGAGGAGGGGGAGGAGGAGGACCTCGAGGTTCCTGGTCACCACGACGCCAAGTTCCAGACGAAAGTGATCAAGAAGAACACCAGCCCAGAGTGGAACCACACGGCGCGGGTGGCCGACCTGACTGGCAAGGATCGGTCCACGAGCGGGGGGCCCTCGAGCGCTGGGGAGGCGACCGTCGAAGAGCCCCCCTCCCTTGCGTTAGAGTGCCTACGTAGAGAGCGTGCCAGCGCCGCGAGAGGCCCTTCTGGCAGAGTTCGATGGCGACGTCGAAGACCGATGTTTCCTTTATTAAGGGACACATCGGTTCTCGACATGCTAAGGGAGGCATCGCGCGCTCTTGCATATTCTTACGTTAAGAATATGCAAGAGCGCGCGCAGGTTTTGTTTAAGAAAATTGATGTTGCATACTACGTGCTTGTATATGTGTGTTCGGGACACTCGTTTTTGAAATCCTTGCGCAACCTCCGGTTGTGTTGAACGACTCCGGCATGCGCGCGCGACGACGCGCGCGCGTGCAAGGACGCGCGCAAGGACGTTCGAACGCGCGCGCGTGCAAGGACGCAAGGACGCGTGCAAGGGATTATTGCGACAGCACGCGCGCAAGGACGTTCGAACGATTTCGACACGTGCGCGCGAGAGGCCTGTTGGGTTACATGTTATGAAAATGTTGAAAACAGAAGAGTTCGCAAGAGCGCGGGCGCAAGCTTCGTTTGGAAACCCCTGTTGCGAAACCACATGTGGATTATATGTGTCCGTGACCCTCGGTCTTAAATTCCTTAAGAAGACTTCTGGTTTGAAGCATGTCGGAATGCGCGCGCAACGACGCGCGCGCGTGCACTTCGTTTTTTTCTCTTGGTTTGCAAAGGATTTCTGTACACTGGTGAGTTTTGATAGACGGGTGCGCGCGCAGGGTTTTTTTTTGCAAAGGATGAGGGGGGGGGGTCGAACTCTGGCCTGCCTGGGACGGTATGAGTTCGTATTTGGGATGGACGAAGGGCGGATGCATCTGACCTTTGCAATACGAAAATGTCAGCCATTAGGTCCGGAGGGGGGAGGTAGATTCTGATTCTTGCTCACTTAAAAAAAGAACCACGTGGTGCAGTATATGTGTTGCGATGTACGGGGTGCAATCTACGTTGTGCAATAAATCTTGCGCGACGTATGTAGCGCAACAGGTGTTGTAATACGTATGTGGTGCAGTCTATGCGGGGCAATCTACGCGGCACAATTCACCCTGCCGAACTTGAAGTTGACAACTCCACTGCTCGCGCAAACGTCCCATCCACCAACCCAGAACTTGGTTTGTAGAACCCATGCGACGGCGATTGCGATGCGTTTGGCGTTGTCCGGTGCATCTTTCGCGGCCGCGGTAGCCCGCGCATGCTCGCGCGCGCAGCGATCAGTTAGATTGGCGCGACCGACGCGGCCGCGGTGGCGTTGACAGCTGGGCACTTCACTTCCAGCGGGCACTCCAGTGCGAATCGGTAACGTGGGCGGGCGCGGTATCACGGCGACGCCAGCAGCGGCAAACACGATGATGAGAGTAGCGATAATGGTGACGATGGTGGCGATGACGAAGGCAAGGCGCATGACGGCGCCGATGTTGATCACGCCCGCCGATAACGATGAAGATGTCCCCGCGTTAGTGATGAAGGTTTTGGAGGAGTTCGACATACGCTCGTGGCCGACGCGGGCGAGTGGCCCGCGTGGTTCTGATTGACACGGATCGTGCCCACCAGCACGCGCGCAAGGGCGTTTGGATGTATCCGACATTCGGCGCGAGAGGCTTTTTTGGCAGAATGTGATTGCAATGTTGATAAGCCAACGGTTATCTTAATAATTCGCCAGGGCGCGCGCGCTGGCATTTTTTTTGGAAAACTGCCGTTACACAGCCACCTGTTTTAAATATGGTTTCGGGACACTCGTTTTTGAAACCCGTGCGAGACCGGAGGCGTTTGCAGGATTTCGGCGCGCGCGCAACAACGCGCGCGCGCATGTCGCCGCATTTGTTGCAACGGAGTCTTGGAACAGGAGGCGCGCAAGGGCGTTCGAGCGATTCAGACGCGCGCGCGAGAGGCCCGCTTGGTAGCAGCTTCATGTATACATACATTCATACGTACGTACGTGCATACGGGTGTGTATATATATATATACATATGTATATATGTACACAAATACATCTACAATTGTTTATTTAGATATACATATACATACATCGGAGGCTGGGGGGTGAGATCGCAATTAAACGGAGACACCCAACCGGGAAATCGGTTTTGTGTTCGTGTCATGCGTGCGGGCGAGGCGAAGCTGCGCGTGATCCTCCTGTACCTAGGCCGAAGTAGGAGCGAAAGTCCGTTGCCCGTCCGCCGGTGGCCGGGAGGTGTCACAGTTGGGCCGGGCGGTGTCCCGGGTGTCCCGGGTGTCAGTAGGAGCGAAAGCCCGTTTCCCGTCCGCCGGTGGCCGGGAGGTGTCCCAGTTGGGCCAGGCGGTGTCCTGGGTGTCCCGGGTGTCCCGGGCGTCTCGGCGCTAACGCATGTCGCTAATTGTATCATTCATTTTTGTCGGCGCTTGCGGCGGGTTTTCTTATCCAATCCAGCTTATCTGATGCAATCCATATTGTCCAATACAATCAATCATATCTTATCCAACCAATTTTGTCCCATCTTATACTATCCCACCCCATCCAATCCACCCAACCCAATCCATCAATTCATTTGTTTCTGCGCCTGCGGCGGGCCAATCCAGTCCATATTATTTTATCCAACCCATTTTTTCTAATCCAACCCATACTATCTTATCCAATCCATCTTATCCCATCTCATCCAATCCACCCAACCCAATCCATCAATTCATGTTGTGTCGGCGCCCGCGGCGGGCTTTCTTATCCAATCCAGCTTGTCCAATTCAAGGTGACAGGCTTCAGGTCAGTCAGGGTGGGCATTTGATCTACATCCCCCCCAACCTCCTTAGCAGGGCGTCGTATAGTACAGTATAGTATATATGTGTGTCTGTGTGTCATCATGACGGGGGGAATCCCGGCCTGGTTGGGATGGTACGTGTTCATATTTTAGATGGACGATGGGGCCGGATTGCATGTACATTGCACATCCGTTGATGGTACCGATAACTCTGGCTTCGGGAGGGCGGTGGATCTTAACTCTTGTGTAGAAGTGACATGCTACGTGGTGCAATATATGTTTTGCAATCTTCGTGGAGCCATTTAGTGGCAGCGACGAGGCGGCGACGGGGCGGCGACGGCGGCCACGCAACCAGACCGACATACAGGCCCAAACGACGGGCGGCGACGACGCGGCGAAAGGGCGGCGACGGCGGCCACGTAGCCGCCAGGCCGAAGAAACGGCCCAGACGACGGGCGGCGACGACACGGCGACGGGGTTGCGACGGCGGTCACGTAGCCGCCAGGCCGAGGACACGGCCAAGGCGACGGGTGGCGACGGGGCGGCGACGGCGGCCACATAGCCGCCAGAGCACGTTCGTTTTAAATTGCAACAGCTTCAATGATGGACGCCAGCTCATTTTCAAAATGCGGTTCTCGCCGCACCGCCGCGCACACCCATGCGACCCAGCCTTCGCCATCCGACGCAAAAATTATTATTCGGTGCGCATCCATCCGACTCAACCCTCACCATCATCGTAGGCCAAAGTGCTCACATCCACACGGCCGAACCCTCACCATCTGCTGCCAACAGTTGTTGCCCGGCGCACATCCACATGACCCACCCTTTTTCCATTCGATATAGAAGAAACATATTCGGTGCACATCTATCCGACCCAACTTCTACCATCCTGTCCAAAATATACGATTCGGTGTACACCCACGCGACCCAAGAGTCACCGTTTTGTGCGATAGTAATATTAGTGCACATCCATCCGACCAAACCCTCACCACCCTGTGCACAGAAACAGTTCGGTGCACGTCCACCCGACCCTTCCTTCATCCGACGAAATGAACGGCATTCGGTGCGCATTTGTTGGTATTCGGTATTCAACATCGACCTCCCCTCTGGCCCCGAATAGCCCCTGGGCCCAACAGGCAGACCAGTGACAACAATAGACCGATAGCAAATATTTGCTAAATCGATACGTTTCGGGCACCCCTCGCCGACTCCGGTTTGGGACCCAAACGCTCCCGAGGTTGCCCTATGCGTTCCAAGGCGCTCACAGACGTTACAATATTACCCCAAGCGCTCACAGGCCCGCCGTCGCCACCAGCACCAACAGCATCCACGTGTCCATTTTCATCGTCCTCGTCGCCGCAGGATGCTTCATGGAGCAGATGAATGCAGATCGCGTTGACGCGTGGACCATCAGCTGTTTTCACAATGGGGCCTTCGCTTCGCTGGCGCCGCACATCGTTGTTTTACAAACCAAAGAACACATAGGGGGCGCGTAGTTTTCAACAAGGGGCTCTCGCTGTAGCGCCGCGAACATCCATACGACGCAACCCTCACCATCCGACGCAAAGATTACGATCCGGCGAGCACCCATCCGACCCAACCCCCACCATTTCACGCAACGACAGAGTTTTGCTCACACCCATACGGCCTTCACCATCTGTTGTAAGCAACCATTGTTCGTTGCACACCCATACGACCCAGCTCTTTCCATTCCCCACACAAACAACGCACCTGGTACACGCCCACCCGACCGAGCCCGCACCACCTGATTCAACATATAGCAGTCGGTGCACACACATAACGGAACCGCCATCACCCAGTGTAAAACTATGTTGCGCACATCCATCCGATTCAAGACTTACCCTAGTGTGCACAACAGTTCGGCGCAGACCCATTCGATCCAATCCTCACCATCCGATGTAAGGAACGGACATCGGTGCGCATAAGTTGATCTTCGACATCGACCGTCCTCCTGACCCTGGAGAGCCCCTGGGCACAGAAGATTCAACAACAACAAAAAAAACGATAGCAAATATTTAGTAGACTGATACGTTTCGGGCACCCCTCGCCGACCCCGATTCGGGATCCAAGCGATATCCCGACGCTGCCCGAGGCGTTCCATGACGCTCACAGGCGCTCCCTGACGCGACAATTCTTCCCGATGCGATCCCAAGCTCGCCGTCGCCACCAGCACCAACAGCATCCACATCCCCATTTTCATCGTCCTCGTCGCCGCAGGAGGCCTCATGGAGCAGATGAATTCAGATCGTGCCGACGCGTGTACCTCAAACGGCGTTCACAATGGGGCCTTCGCTTCGCTGCCGCCGCACGTTTATCGTTTTACACCTACACAACCCAAGAACAGATAGGGGGCCGGCGTTTCGCAAAAAGGGGATCTCGCCATGGCGCCGTGCATGCTCGGTTGTCAAATTGCCCTTAGATGTGGTAGTACACGAGTCCTGTCTACGACGGTAGGGTGGCACTGGGCAAGTCCAGCCTCTTAGAGAGCACCCCCACCGCATTGGGGTCTCCCCTTTGGCCTCGCGCACATTCGAGCACAAAGTCAAGAGCCCACACTGATTTGGCACTCCCTCGACCTCTACGGCACGGCGTTCCAGATTGCGCAACAGCTAACACGCATGGGGGGCCGGTTCCTCGTTCGAAACGGGGCTCTCGCGCGAGCCTTTTGCGAAGCATGCGCCCACGATTTTCACATTCGGCAGTGCTCAGACGGATGGATGGTATGTTTCGTTTTAACATGAGGCTGTTCAGCATCGGCATCATCATCACCATCACCGTCACGACCGTTTTCTCCATCTTCATCATCATCACCACCATCACCAACATATTTGTCATCAGTTGCATCACCTCCTCCTCAGCCTCCTCCTCCTCCCCGTCCTCCTCCGCCTTTTCCTTACCATGTTCCTCTTTCTCCTCCTCCTCCTCATCATCATCACCATCATCATCATCATCATCATCATCATCATCATCATCATCCGCATCATCTTCTTCATCCTCATCCTCATCCTCTCCCTCCATCCTTCCCTCCGTCCTTCCCTCCTTTTCCCCCTCTTCCCCTCCCTCCTGGTCCTCCTCCTCCTTTTCCTCCTCTTCCTCCTCCTGCTCCTCCTCCTCCTTTTCCTCCTCCTCTTCCTCTTCCTCCTCCTCATCATCATCATCGGCATCATAATCATCATCATCAGCAGCATCATCATCATCCTTTTCCTCCTCCCTCCGTCCCCCCTTTCCTCCCCCCTTCCTCCCTCCCTCCCTCCTCCCTTTCTCTCTCCCTCCCTCCCTCCTCCCTCCCTTCCTCGCTCTCGGCCACTCGCGGGGATGGCGCCCCCAGTGGCTCTCTGGGGGCCGCCCAGAGGGGGGCCGACCAAGGTGCAGTGCCCCCCGAGCCTGCCTCGTCTTCAGGCAGGCCCCGGGTTTCGACGCCGGCCAAAGGCTGCCGGCGCTCTCTCTCTGCCGGCCAGCCGGCGCGCAAGGGGCAGGGGGAGGGAGGGGGAAGAAGGGGCATGGAGAGGAGGGCGGTGGGGGAGGGGAATGGGGGGCGGTGGCGGTCGTGGGAGTCTTGAGGGTGGTGGCCGTGATCGTAGTGGTAGTCGTAGTGGCGGTCGTACTGTTGGTGGTCGTGCTGGAAGTCGGCCGTGCTGGTTGTGATCGTGGTGGTCGTGTTGGTGGTCGACCTTCTGGTGCAGGTGGAGGTCGTGGTGGTCGGTCTGCTGGTGGTCGGGGTGGTCGTGCTGGCGGGCGTGCTAATTAGTGGTCCGCCGTGCTGGCGCAGGTGGTGCGGTTGACAGTCGCGGCGGACTACTGCCCGTGGGCGCTGAGGACCATCTGGGCGTTGCCCGTTTGTAGGGTCCCTCCCTCCCTCCTTCCCTCCCTCCCTTTCCCTCCTTCGCCCCTCACCCCCCGGGCCCCACACCCCACCCCTCCTCCGCGTTCGTGGGGGGACGCAGGCGGGGAGAGGAGGAGGAGGAGGAGGAGGAGGAGGAGGAGGAGGAGGAGGAGGAGGAGGAGCAGGAGGAGGAAGAAGAGGAGGAGGAGGAGGAGGGGCTTTTGGCAAGCGCAGGCAGCGTGCGTATTACGAGGGACGGTTCTTTCCGAGAGCCCTTGGCCGTCCTTAGGGCCGACCCCCGAGCCCTTGGCCGTCCTTTTGCCCGCCACAGATAGGAGGACCTCGTGTTCACCGTCTACGACTGGGACCGGTTTTCCAAGGACGACTTACTGGGAAAGGTCAGGAGGAAAATCGAGGAGGAGGGGGACGATGAGGAAGATCGAGGAGGATCGAGGAGGAAGCAATTGTTGTCGGTGCGTTGAAAGACTGTGCGTGTGTGCTCCCAGGTGCCCGAACAAGGCAACAAGACAACACTCCCAACCTTATGTCCTCCCATCCGATCCTCATCATTCTTATCCTGCTCATCCTTCTCCTCCGTCTCATCCTCCTTGTCCTATTTGATCCCTTCCCCCGTGGGTGGGGCCTGGCACCTGTTCTCATGGTGTCAGCGCCACCGACTCCACGGGGCACACTGTCAGGAGCTTTCTCCGCCAGCTGAGTGAGGTGCAACCGGCCACGTTCTTTGGGAACCAAGCGGCTTGGCGTCCTCGCCTTGCCGCTGGTGGCGTCAGCAGCGGCCGTAGCACTGGAGCTGGTTCCCAGGCACAGGGGATCGCGCATCTGGTGGAGAGGTGGGGCCATGTGGCCCGTAATTCAGTTGGGACCTTGCGTCCACTCCCCCTGGGGTAGAAACCCAGTCGAGCGCGCTAGGTGTTTCGGCAGGGGTGAGGCCGCTTGAAGGTGCCTCTACGCACCAGCCGTCACGGTTAGGCTGCGAGTCGCCGGCGACGTGGTCACCCTGCTGTACTTTGATTGGTTCGCGATTGAAACCACGCGCGCGGTTAGCGACATCCTCCCACATGCTCCTCCTCGATCCCTTGGGTACGCTGGGTCCCTCTGCTCTATCCTCCTCTTCGATTCCTCATGGACTTCCTCACCCTCCTCCACCTCCTCCACCTCCTCGATCCCCATTGATCCCATATCTCTATATCTCTCTCTCTCTCTCTCTCCTTTCCCCCTTTTCCTTCACGTAGCGGTACGTGGTGACGAAAGGCGAGGGACGTGAGAAGCTCGGCTGCGCCTCGGGTGTCACAGACACCCCGCTGGCACACTGTGCGCCTCAGAAGTGCTGGACTTCAACCCTGGGACGTTACAGGGCCCCGTGAAGGGTGTGCCTGCCCCAGCGGCGTCTGGAGTTCGACTCGGACTCGTTCCAGGTCAAGTGCCAGTGCTGGGCTTATTCTGTGAGGCAGCAGGGCCCCTCCGGTGGGCGAGCCTGCCCGGATGGTGTCTTGAGTTCTGCTCGACCATGCTCGCTGTCCGTTTCGAGCGTTGGCTCTTGCCTCGGGGTGCAACAAGCCCTTGAGGAGGGGCGATCTTGCCCCGCGTTATCTTGGGTTCGGCTCGTACCAGCTCGAGGTCAAGCTCAAGCTGCTCGGCCTCCTCTCCCGGGACACGACGCAGCCCCAGAAGGGCGTGCCTGCCCCCACTGTGCTCGGCCTGTCCCTGGAGGTGCCAGGAAGCCCCGTGGGGGGGGGGTACTCCAGATTTCGTAATCAAGGGAGGGGGGTCTCATTTCGGGGGGGTCTCTTCCAGGCTATCTTAGAGGGCCGGCCTGGGGGGTCTGGGGACGATGTTTTGGAGGGTTCTCCCACGGGGGAGGTCTGAAATGGCTTGTCTTGGAGGGTCCAGACCTCCTCCCTTTTACTACGAAATCTGGAGTACCTGTCCCGGTGGCGTCTGGACTTCGACTCGAATTCGTTCCGGGTCATGTTCGAGTGTTGGGCTTAAACGTTGCGGTGCACCAGAACCCTTGCGAGGGGTGGACATGCCCCGCCGGTGCCCTGAGGTCGACCCGGACAAGTTCGTGGTCAACTACGAGACGTGATCGCTGAGATCAACTCATACCAGTGCGAAGTGAACTCCAAGCTGCTGGGCTGTTCTCTTTCAGGGTGCACCACAGCATCTGCGGGCCTGCCCCGATGGTGTGCTACAAGGCCACCTGCAATGAGAAGTCTTGTTATACCAGACTGTTGGTGATGTGTACCGAGCAGAATGCGCGGTGCTCCTTTCATGCCAGCTTCGTGACAGTACAACACGTGAGATCGCGTGCGCAAGGCTGCAGATATCAGTGTGCGATATTGCGCCTTGTATTGGGTGCATCAGTAATATGTTAACTCTGGATAGCTGGTCGTGCTCAGGAACGTACTGCCGCCTTGGCCGAGGGGCCTGACCACTGGAGCTCCTGGCGTTAAAGAAGTTGGCACGCCACTGGATGACAGAGGACGTTGCTGAACCTCCAGGCCGCGTCAGGGCAACAAACAATGGCATAAACATAAAAACTCTGAGACCGGGGCGGATTTCTCGGATCGGCGTTGGACCTCCTTCCCTGGCGCGCGGAGAGCGCCAGGGGCGGCGCCAGAGGCGCCGCCAGGGGGGCCCAGCGCCGATCTGAGGAATCCGCGCGAACCTCAAATTTCTTATGTGTCTGTCATTGCTTGTGCCCCTACAGGTAGTGATGGCGCGTGGTGGGGGCGTTTCCTTCTTGGGCCACCAGCTGCAGCATGGAAGGCTGAGCTGGGCAGCGGGCGCGCGCAAGCCCGCGCGGCCCGCTGCCCGAGAGACGTATCATCTGCCTGCGTCCTCCGTTTTGCGTCCTCCTCCTCCTCCTCCTCCTCCTCCTCCTCTTCCTCCTCCTCCCCAACCTCATGTTCCTCCTCCTCGTCCTCCTCCTCCTCCTCCTCCTACTCCGCCTTTCTTTTCTTTCAGCGTTGGCCAATGTCGACATGCATACAGCCATGGCAAAGGGAAAATAAGACAAGCCCACTGCAACTGCTACTACTGCTCACTGGCCCCCAATATCGTAGAAAACAATACCTCAAGTGCCCACTCCAAACTCAGCACCCCCGCCACTGCAATGTACCAAGAAGCTTCCACCCATAAAGAGCGTTTCTCTGCAAGCGCCGGCCGAATACGAATATACTGCAACTCCCCCCGCTGCGAGCCCATCTCTTCCGCCCTAGAGGGCACCGTCAAAGCTGAGACGTAGATTTGTTTCGTTGTATCTCGCCCTCGTCACTGCCAGCGCGTCCTGCTTGACCCAATGTGTGCCCATGTCCAGCTCTGCAATTGCCCGTGATCGGCGGCGCAGTTGTACGCACGGTAATCCAAATTCCACGGATCCGGCCGTGTTCAGGGTTCCGGCGCGGCTAGAAGCCCATGTACAGATTCTGCAGCACGCTGCACACCTGGACGAAGATAGGGCGAAGCTCTGGCGAATCTATCATTGCACGGCCGTTCAAAACTGATTCCAACAATTGATTCCTCCTTCTCCTCCTCCTCCTCCTCCTCCTCCTCCTCCTCCTCCTCCTCCTCCTCCTCCTCCTCCTCCTCCTCCTCCTCCTCCCCCATTTCCTCCTCCTCCTCCTCCTCCTCCTCCTCCGCCGCCGCCGCCGCCGCCGCCTCATCATCCTCCAGGTGGTTTTGCTTGCGGGCCTGGGGCGGCCCGTGCACCCGAACCCCCAGTTCCTCGCCCACCCCCCGCCGCTCGGGCGCGGCGCGAGGTGCCATCGCGGGCGGCGGCGGCGCGCGCCGCGATCGCCCGCCTTCCGTTGCTTGGCACGGGCGCGTGCGGCGGCGGGTCAGCGCCCGACAGCTGTTGCGGCGAGCCGCCGCCAGTGATCTCTTGGCAGGACACCACGGAGACCATCCGCCAGACCCCAACATGGCCGTGCAGGGACCTGAAGAAACGCTTGGGCTCGCAAGGCCACGCGGGCTTGCGGGTACAAGACCAGCTGTTCGTCTCGATCCACTTGCTGCGCGTGTGGGCGTGATCGCGAAGGACTCCCGCCAGCGAAGGAGGACGGTAGCACCCAGTCCCCGAGGAGGAAGAGCATGCGTCCTTCGCGTCCTCGCGATGTTGGCGGCGATGCTCGGAGCGATTGCGTTCATGGCGAATCCTCCACCGCCAGCACCGACGTCGACCCTGCTGGCCCCAGGGAGTTTTCCAAGTGTCGGAAGGCGTTCACCCAGTTCCGCCGCTTGTATTCCGAGGAGCACGTCCTGGTCACGACCGAGCTGGCCAAAGCAGAGGCAGCGGCTCGGTCCCGGATGGCGCCCGGGGATCTCCTCCGCAGCGCCATTGATCGGTGGACCGCCCAGGAGGCAGAGCGGGAGACGCAGGCCAATACCGTGAAGTCGGGCCTGTCCCCCTTACAGGGGGATTTTCGACGAAAAGTAAAAACTACCCCAAAAATAGTCCAAACATAGTCTGGGGATTATTTATTGAATAGTTGTTGGCCTTTTTGGGGTATGGTTGGAGTCTTTTTTATTTTTCGTAGAAAATCCCCCGGTAAGGGGACACGCCCGACATAACAATACCGTCGAGGACCCCCAGAGCCAACTCGACGAGGCGCAGCGACGCCTCAACACACTCACAGCAGAGGTGGCCGACGTACAGGCAAAGGTGGCTCAGGCGCAGGCCGCCACGCAGCAGTTCAAGGGGCTTTTCCTGGAGGCACAGCAAGCGGTACACGGGGGCGCCAGTCATGAGACTGGGCGGTCAGCTTCTGGACTCCTTGGCACGTCAGCTTGGGGTGGCCCAGGCAGGTCCGCTTGCCGCACCACCGCAGCAGCCAGTTCCAGCAGCCCACAGCAACTACAAGTTGGAGTTCCAGCCTCCGGAATTCAACAGCCATGAGGAGCGACTTCGTCGAGACCGCCATCCGAGCTCATTGTGCGCAGCTGGGCCTTCTTTTCGTTCGCTACTCGGACACCAAAGGATGTCTGCTGGAGTATGACCCCAGCGACGACCACCGTGTGGTCGCGGCCCTCCGCGGCTTCTGTGCGCCGAACACGAATCGGTTTTGGACGCGCGGACCTATTGATGAGAGATATCTGAACCGCCTCCGTCATAGACTTCGAACGGTGGCTAGAGTTCGATGTTTCCAGAGAGTTTCACAGCAGCGGCACGACCCCGAGGAAATCAACGAGGTCGTCCCGAATGTCACGTCGCACAGTTTCTACTCCAAGTGGGCTCGTGGCCTTCCTGGTGCTGAGGAAAAAGCTGCGTTGCGTTTTCCTCTCAGGTGCTGTATCATCAGAAACAAGTCGACAGTCAGGTAAGTCGCGCCCCCCGTGTGGCGCGCTCTGGCCGTCTTTCCGCCACACTTGGGCTCAG